TTGTTTTAACCAGAACATCCGTCATTTTACCTGACAGAACACAGGGGTTGCTTGAATACACACATAGCACACGAAAACTACTGATCGAGCAGCGGTATTTTACTTCCTGAAGCTCTTCTTTGTGAAGATTAAGCAGCCTGATAAACTTAAATGAGTGAGTGAGAGTGAATGGAATAATATAGCCAATTCCCATTAAAATACCAATATATAAAGACAGAAATAAAAAGGCCATGCTTTTCCTATTTATCCAAATAATTTTGCCTAATCTTTTGCATTTCTTGAGATGCTGCAGAAAAAGATCCTTCATTGTGCTGTATTTGTACACATCTTTAGCATAATACTGTTGCCATTTCGAAAGCCCCCCCCCCCCCCCCAACTATCTGTGCATTTTAATGGTGTGAACACAGTGGCACATCTGTCCTCATCTGGTTACCTGACAAGGATCTTTTAAGCAGCTGCTGGTCTCCTGAGTTATAGCCGTGCCAGTCCTTCTGCAGGTCCTTATATAGACTCTCCTTCAGAACAAATGTTTTGTCCCTGCTGTTGAGCTGTCCAACCTGCAAACAGACACATACACAAAATAAACACAGGTGAGAAAAAGACTTTATTTTCTGTGTTTAGAGTTCATCAGTTCATTTATACATTTAATCACTTTTGGGGTGAGTGTTCTAGCCCTGTGTGTCTGTATAATTCTTTGAATTTGGGAATTATCTAAAACTTTATTTAATTGTATTTAGTGTCATAACTGAAAAAAAAAAATCAAATACCTGTATTTGTCTGGGCAAAACAGAAGAAAAAAAATCACCTCCGTCAGTACAGAGTCCAGCAATACTTGTCTCCTGCTGACAATCCGTCTTTCTGCAGCCTCAGAATCAACTCAGGCCTCTTGTACCGGCCTCAGAGCCAGGAGGTGTGTTAATCTCTCCCTGAGCGCCTCTCCTGCACAACACCCACACTCCTCCTGTTGGACGCACCACCAGCCCTTCTTCAACTTGGACACACTTTCCCCCCTCTTAACTGTTGCTGAGGAAGACTGGGATGCCTGTTTGGGCTTGGTCAGGCTGGCCAGCGCAGGCGCTGGGGCTCGCACAGTTCCCTTCTGCCTGTGAAGGAGCAGGGAAATCACACATCAAAAAGTGCCATTTCCAAATAAAGCAAGAATAATCCTTCAAAAGAAAACCTGTGAAGTTCAAAGGGACCTGACAGAGATTTTTATCATCAACGGTGGCCTTGTGCTGTACTCTTAAAAAACAGTTCAATAAGTTTTATTTTTCAAAATTTTCATTGACTGACTGAACCTCCTAGTTGCTGGAGCTGTACTGTGCGTAACTACTGCTTTTTCAGGCTAGATGATGCATGATCAGACACAGAGGAAGAGAAATGGGTGGATCACCTCTGACAGAAACTGTGAAAAAAGAGAAATGACCTCATTTCACCTCTTGGGAAACCACATTCAGGTTAAAAAGATGCACAGACATCATAGTGAGCAAAAGCTGCTAACTAATGGTAGAAATAAACCACACTGTTTGCACATAGCCTCAGTTCTGCTTTTTTTTTATAATATGTAAGCTTCCTCTGAAACTGACAAAATCATCAATCTATTGCGTATCTCTTTGCATGTGTTGTATGTTTGTGCGTTCACTGAAACAAGATAATGGTGGTAACATATCTGTTAGAAGGAAGTGGTTTGGTGGTTAGAAGTAGAAGAAAGCGGTGAACAAAAAAAAAAAATCACTGTTTTTTTCATATGTATGTGTATTTGTTGAGCATGTTGTACCGAATGTAGTCTGTGTATGTTCTGCAAGTATGTTTGTCAAGACTCGGTAGCCTATAAATCACTGTATTATATACAGTAACAATATATATACGTTTTATATATATATATATATTATGTATATACACATTATATACTCTATGTGAATATGCATATGTGTGCTGTATAGAAAGTTTACTAAGTAGAAAACAGACAAAAGCACACTAACCTGCAGAAGGAAAGAGTGAAGACTGGCTGTTATCTTGGTCACTGTTACCACATGTTGCTATGGTAACCAATGCAATATGGCTGACTGTTTTTTTTTTTTCCCCCCAACATAACCAGCACAGTACAAATTTGTCTTCAGGCCATTTATTTTCCTTAGCTGGAGTTAAACATTTTACAACAAGCAGACTCTGTGCAGATGTGAGTGTTGTCTGGATTTTCTTTTTTTTCCTACCCTGGTAGCGCCCCCATGTTGATGACAATGGCCCCTCGGCTACGTGTCTCCTCTCAGCTTGGCCATGCTCTGACGAGCCTTATCGTACGAGTCATCTGTAGCGTTGACTGTCATCTTTTTCTGAATCACCCCAAGACATGACAGCTCCTCGGGCAGCACTGGGAGAGGAGGAGGAGAGGAGGAGAGGAGGAGGAGGAGAGAGAACAGACAGTGATCGACAGAGCTCTCAGGACTCCTTCATGTTATCCATTTCAAATAAAACGTTGTTTTTCACTACATACTTGCTGGACTGATGTTTATGCTTTGATAGTGTTGAGCTAGATGTATGCTCACATTAGCCAAAAATAATCACACCAATTCTGTAGTTTATAATATTTTTAACAGGTGCATTTGGGCAACAGCAAAGACTGCTATATTTTTTGGTCAGGACTCAACTGCAGATTTGATGAATAATTCTTAAACTTTTCACAACGAGCTGACATTTATACATTCACTTCTCTACATTTCCAGCTTCTAGACCTGTACAGTCAAGAGCCCTGTGTTTTTTCTGGCATTTAGAGCGACATTACCAGCGGGGTGACTTTCACATAGCAGTAGGGAGTCAAGACATTTTAAAATATTGAAACAATTTTCAAACGCCCAGTTTAATGCATATCATAGAATACAAAGTAAACATATAATCATGTAATCACTGCAGACAAAACAAGCTTACAGACCTCATGAGTAGTTTTAAATTCCCTGTGTATATAAAATGGTGTGATCTGCACACATTTATCAGTTTATTTTGCTTGTTGCTTCCAAAATTAAATTTTGCAAATTTACATCTGCAAATGCTTGAGTATCAAGTTTTCATAATTATTGTTCCTTAAAATCTAAGCATTATGTCTTTCATTTTGCAGAGAATCAACCATCCCTTGTCTCAGTAGGAAAAGAGATGACGTGAGATATACCTTCGGCGTGAACGAATGTAGCTCCGTGACAAATCCACCATCGGAAGCTTTGACTGTGGTCCCAACACTCAGTGCAGGTAAATTACAACATAATAAATCTCCTATAAAACAGTTAGATAACCTACACTTTTGTTGCGTTTGGTTCAGATTAAAAATGAAAGACATAATGCTTAGATTTTAAGGAACAATAATTATGAAAATACTTGATACTCAAGCATTTGCAGATGTAAATGTTGTCTAAAATTTTATATTTGGAAGCATCAAGGCAAAATAAAACGTGATAATGTATGCAGATCACACATTTTATATTACACAGGGAATTTAAAACCACCTACTCATGTAGGTCTGTAAGTCTTGTTTTGTCTGCAGTGATTACATGAATTATATGTTTTATCTTTGTATTCTATGTTATAGCCATTAACTGGGGCGTTTGAAAATTGTTTCAATATTTTTTAAATGTCTTGATCCCTTTACTGCTATGTGAAGAGTCACCCCCTGGTAATGTCGCTCTAATGCCAGAAAAAACACAGGGCTCTGCTGTACAGGTCTAAGAAGCTGGAAATGTAAGAGAAAGTAATGTGATAAATGTCAGCCGTTGTAGTAAAGTTTAAGAATTATTCATCAAGATCTGCAGTTGAGTCCTGACAAAAAATGATAGCAGTCCTTTGCTGTTGGCCCATAGTGACACCTGTTAAAAATATTATAAAACTACAGATTGGTGTGATTGTATTTGGCTAAATGTGAGCATATCATCTAAGCTCAACACTATCAAAGCATAAACATCGAGTCCAGCAAGTATGTAGTAAAAGACAACGTTTTATTTGAAATGGATTAACATGAAAGGAGTCCTGAGAGCTCTGCCAGATCACTGTCTGTTCTCTCTCCCCTCCTCCTCCCCTCCTCCCTCCTCCTTCTCCCCAGCTGTCTGCCGAGGAGCTGTCATTCTTGGGTGGAATTCAGAAAAAAGAATGAACAGTCAACCGCTACAAGATACTCGTACGATAAGGCTCGTCCAGGAGCATGGCCCAAGCTTAGGAGGAGACACGTAGCCGAGGGGCCATTGTCATCAAACATGGGGGCGCTACCAAGGGTAGGAAAAAAAGAAATCCAGACAACACTTCACTTGCACGAGTCGCTGTGTTGTAAATGTTTTTAACTCCAGCTAAGGAATAAGAATGGACTGGAAGACTAATTTGACTGTGCTGGTTAGTGTTGGGGGAAAAAAAAACAGTCCAGCCATATTGCATTGGTTACCATAGCAACATGTGGTAACAAGTGACACAAGTAAAGCCAGTCTTCACTCTTTCCTCTGCAGGTTA